ACTGACACACATTCAATCAAACACAGACACACACACTCTCAAACACAGAGCACACACACACACACACACACACACACACACACACACACACACACACACACACACACACACACACACACACACACACACACACACACACACACACACACACCTGTCTTTAGCATCTTTGCAGCCGGCGATGTCCGACCCCATGGCCTCCAGCAGCAGAGCAGCACACGGCTCGTGATCATTCACTCTGTTACACACACACAAAGTGTTATCCCACAAAACAAACAAGTTTCCGATGGGCATGATTTAACATTGTGTACTCTAGATCATTCAGTAGTTCAATTAAATCAGTCAAAAAGATGATAGTTATTGATATTTGATGAGGTTTAATGTATTATTGAATACTCACACAGCACAGTGCAGAGGTGTGAACGGGTTTCCTTCAATACAGCGACAACCTTTCTGCTCCAGAAGAACCTCCACACACCCCTCATGACCTGAACACACACACACACACACACACACAGATATTTAACTTGAGTAGTAATATCAATACCATAGTGTAAAAATACTCTGATACAAAAGTAGCAAGTAGATAGTTAATAAAATAAAAACAATGTATTTGTAGATTATATTTTGTATTCATAATTATAATCTGCAAGTGTAGTAAGAAAATACTTTAAATACATTTATATTGAAAACACCAAAAATCAGTTTGACAAAGAATCAACGAAATTCATTCACAAAGTAGAAATGCATAAAAGAAGCTGGATACAGACTGAAGTATCTATACATAACATTATTTTTTTATACGTATATATATATATTTGTATATAAAGTCTGACCGTAGTAGCAGGCCCAGTGCAGGGGGGTGTACCCCCGTCCGTCCCTCAGCGGGGGGGGCATGGGGGGCTCGGAGCAGGCGATGCTCAGCAGCTCGCTCAGCCAGGAGGCGTGGCCTCGAGCGGCCGCCAGGTGGATGGGGGTCCGCCCCCGAGAGTCTCCAATCAGAACAGAGGCTTCCTGCTCCAGGAGACACTGGATACACTCCTCCTGCCCACACAGCAGCTGGGGGGGGGTTATTAAATCAAGCTGTGAGATGGTATGATACAAAGAAACATGGACACAGACATTTAACATAACATTAGAACATCTTTTCAAGAACCTTTCATGTACCGTATATTGAATCTGGGATAAAATCAGGATTGAGCTTTTTTTCTGGTTTCATGCTTACCTAGTTTACAGGTAAGGATATTAGCTCAGTATATACAAGAACAGATCCAACAGATACTATTACATTCAAATGATAAAGACTTAAGTGTGTTGCAAATGCCATTTTGAGTACATTGAGATTTGTAAGAAGAACAACCATTCACAGTCCAACCATCAGAGAACATCCATCCTCAATGTTGATATTGAAACTCGGATAAAGTCTATATTTGTTCTGATGGCAAACTCTAGCATGTTCTGTCTTTTCTTTATTTATAAGGTTACATTAGTAAAACAAATTGTATATATATTGATAAATATATAAACAAAGGTGTTTATATATATTTTTGAAAAGGGTGCAGGAGAACAGTGATGCTCACCCCGAGGTGCAGAGCGGTGAGTCCGTGTTTGCTCGCCGCGTTCACGTTGGCCTCTCTCTCCAGCAGCAGAGACACGGCGTCCACGTGACCGCCGGACACCGCCAGCATCAGAGGGGTCCTAAAGGAGGTGGGGGGGGAGATAATTAAAAACTATACCTTCCTGTTCCTCCTCAGACTTTTCAGGTCAAAACAAAGAAAGGATTTATTGAGAGCTGAAATCCACTCACTGGCCCTGAGCGTCAGCAGAGTCCACCAGGTCTGCACCGTCCACTTCATCCAGCAGGAGGCGCACACACGTGGTGTGGCCGTTCATCACTGCAGGGGGAGAGGAAGAAGAGACAGAAGTTAAGGCCCAATCCCAAACCAGTCCCTCGACCCTACTCCTCCGTGACGGAGTGAACTCCGTCTGTAGCCACACTCGTAGCTCAACGAGGCTCCCTCCTGTCAGATGGAGCAGCAAGCTTTGGGACAAACTCTACTCTCTCCGGCAGAAACAGGAAATGCCGTAACTGTATGTAATCTCTTTAACAAAAAATGTAAATGAATAACTCAAATAAAACTCCAAACATCTTTCATTGTGTTACTTTTTTTTAAAGCTCTTTTAGTTTTAAACCTGATGTTTATAAGCTTCTTAGTTTTTGCAACAGTCTGTAAATATACACAACTTTATAATAAAATGCACACATTTACCTTTTTCTAGACTAAACACAGGTATGACCCTAAGTTAAAAACATATGACATAGACTCGCTGTTTGAAGGCTTGATAGCCCACTCCCCCTCCACACCGCTCCACACTCGTTGGTTTGGAACAGCCCTCAATATGGCGGACCCTCCGCGTGAACGCGCAAACGGAGGGGTAGGGTGTAGGGGGCGGTTTGGGAATGGGCCTAAATTATGATTAGTACTACAGGAAGTAGATAATCATCGTTAAAATATTCACAATAACTCAGTGCACTTCTGACCGTTTGATCATCAACAAACTGCAAAGCTTCATAATGTCTCTTCTGTATCAACTCTATAGGATTCCATCAACACACACACCTCCAAACATTATTCTATGTTCTTGTATTGATCGGCAGTCATTGGTCTGTTTTAATAGATTACAGTTGATGTTAAGGTGCCAGAAATACAAACAGAAGCGTGTATTCAAGTTTCAAGGCGTCATTGGCACATTAGCTACAGTACAGTGTAGATGTGGAAGTGAAAAGGTCCTCCTCCAACAGAGCAACATGAATATATTATAGGACAGAAAACAAACACAGATCAAAAAGTGCATATTAGTGTAAAAGTGTATTCAGTGTCTAACTCTGCTCCCACCTGCCAGATGCACAGCGCTGCGTCCGTATTGGCTGTCTGTGAGGCGCGGCGACGCCCCCTGGCTGAGGAGTGTGTGAACACACTCTGCGTGGCCCCTCAGGGCGGCGAGGGCCAGGGGGGTCCGCCCCCCCTCGTCCCCCTGGTCCACCTCCCTCTCCCCCTGCAGCAGCACCTCCAGAGCCTGGGCGTGCCCGTGGTACGCCTGCAGAGAGGGTTTAATGAACACTTTAAACATTCAGACCTTAAAGTCAAATATATGTTATCAGAGCTGCTTTGATTACCATTTGCTAATGACATGTTAGAGTAACAACTTATTTAAATCATCTTTCATTAATGCACAACCTGGAACAGGAAGTCAATAATAATGCAACTGCTTGATGAATATTTCTATATTCAACACACAGTTGTTAATGAATATATTTAATCTACGTCACTTTCATGTTCAACTGTGTGTGTGTGTGTGTGTGTGTGTGTGTCTCACAGCGAGGTGCAGAGGGCTCTTAGCGTTCAGAGACTCTGGGTCGTCTTGGTGATTGTCGTCTCTGTCCAGCAGCTGCAGGTCACACACACACATCAACATCAAACATACTGTACACTCAGATAACACACACTTTATTCTGTATGTCACACTCACTGTGTGTGTGTGTGTGTGTGTGTAGTGG